ACTAGTAACTTCCCCTATTGAAAATGGTGGTCTAGGAATTCAAAAAACTAATGGAAAAAACTTTGCTTTGTTAACAAGTCTTATCTGGAGATTCTTAAAAATTAATGATCACCTTTGGGCTGAGGTTCTCAAGAATAAATACTTGAACAGAAGCCAAATGACTAACTTGAAATGTTACCCTCAAGACTCTTATATATGGAAAAGTCTCGTAAGAGCCCACCCACTATTCCAAAAAAACATCTCTTGGAATGTGGGTAATGGGGAAAAAATTCGCATCTGGCAAGACAGCTGGATAGATACAACATACTCCCTACGACAACTGATCTAAGGACCGACCACTGAAACTGAAACTAAGATGGTCCTAAAAAACTGCATCAAGAATAACAACTGGATTACTCTTGTTTATCCTTTGAAATCCCTAATAACGTCAAAATAACCATAGAAAACACTTACTTACAAACATCAAGCTCCAAGCCTGACACCTTCTACTGGAACAAGAGCAATGATGGTTATTTTAACACAAAAAGTGCCTACTTAGCATTTCTCAAACCTAACTATGAAACTACCATAAAGACAAATTGTAATTATGTATGGGTGTGGAAGATAAATGCTTTCATTAAAATAAAAAATTTCATGTTGCTCCTCCTAACTCATAAGCTCCCTATTTCTGTAGCCCTTTACAACAGAAACATTACTACATCCAGAAATTGTGCATCCTGTCTTGACATGGAGGAAAACACGAATCATATTCTTTTAAACTGCCCGGATGCTAAACACATCTGGAAAAACTATAGCATAAGTATCACCTCCCATGACCTCCATACAGAAATTCATCAACTGTGTACCACAAAAAGTTTCGTAACCATAAACAAGCACCACCGGGTTCCTACCGCTACTCGAGTTCCAATTATTCTTTGGAATATTTGGAAAAATAGAAATAGCAAACTTTATAAAAATTTAAATATTAGTAGGTCTACTAATACTATTAATAACATTTCACTCCAAGCCATGGAATACTTTCACTTAAACCAAATCCCTCCGAAAAAAGTCCCTAGACATATGGTTCCTGTTTCTTGGCACAAACCACCAGATGGAAAATACAAACTAAACATTGATGGCTCATATGAACCAAACTCCTCTAATGGTGGAATTGGAGGAGTAATTAGAGATCACCTAGGAACATGGATCGTGGGATTCACATGCAAAATCATAGCAAGAAATGCCCTACATGCAGAAGTTCTAGCCTTGCTACATGGTCTGAATCTACTGAAAAGTAAGAACTTAAAACATCTGCTGGTGAAAACAGACTCGCAGGTATTACTTAACACTCTATATAGCAATAATCTCATATACTCACATATTTTCGCTGTTTGCAGATCGCTACTCCTCCAACTAGAGGGATCGTCCCTGAAGCACATTCCGAAGGAGGCTAATGCAATAGTAGACCTACTAGCCAAATACGGAAGAGAAACGAAGGATCCATATATGATCAACAATCAAACTTTAGTTTTTGAAGCATCTCCTTCACCAGCAATAGATGTATTAGAAAGAGATGTGATTGGAACTGTAACTCATAGACTAGTTCCACTTTTGTATGGTTGAACATATTATTAACTAAATAAAATCCTTCTGCTATTTAGCAAAAAAAATACAATATATTTAGAACTATATCCCAAACCTATTGCCCACATTCTTTGTGGAAAAAAAAAATCCCTCTTTTCCCTAGGTTTTAAAGTGGAAAAACTATTACAGTTAGATGTAGTGAACATAAATCAAATGAGACCAAATTGTGCTAGGGCCTAGGGCCAAAGTCATGGTGCATTTGATGGCAACTTTGTACATTGCTAATTTTTGCAATTTAACTTCTCGCATTGACAATAGCTATTATCGTATTATTTTTATTTAATTACTAAAAAAGTAAAAATACTACCAATGATTGGGTTTGAGTAATCCACATAACATATTAGAATTTAACACAACAAAAATTCTTTTAATGAAATATTAAGCTTGTAAGAAATATATTCTATCCGTTTCAACAAGAATAACCTACTTTTCTTTTTGGTTTCTTTTAAAAAGAATAATCCTTTATTTGTTGGCAATACTTTAAATCCAACTTTCCACATGACATGTTTAAGACTGCAAAATCAAAGAGCATTTTTGTACATTTTACATGGCTTTAATTTAAGATCACAAGATCTTTTTTTTTTTCTTAATTAAACTATGTGTCAAGTCAAAACAGCTCATTCTTTTTTTAAACAGAGGGAGTAACAATTTTCAAATGACATTAATTACACAAACTTTAGAAGTCCATTGAAAGAAATAACAAAATTACCAACAATAATAAATATTTCATCTTTAACGTCATTCATATTTTCTTGTCATTCAAATAGAAGTTTATGTTAAGTTTGCAATGTTAAATATAGACTAGCCTTGAGATAGGAAGTCATGAACAAAACGCAAAATATTGGTGAAGCCTTTCGCATTAAATCCATTGGTAGATACAGTATCGAAATATAATAACTTATGAATACATTTTGAAAATACATTATTGTACACCCAAACAAATGGGATCTAAATTGGAGAAAAAAATAACTAATTAATTATTTCTTGATTTTATAAATAACAATTACTTTTAACGAAAGTGACAAATATAAAGGATCCTAATGAGTACCATTTATTAAACCTAACCTAATACTGCTACAAACTTTTCGTCAAAATTTACCGAATTTTGTGGGTTACCCACTAAAGGGTTGAGCGCATGACTGTTCCTTTTGTTGTCAGGGGTCTCGGATTTGAATCCTGAATATGAAAAAATCTTTAGTAGAGATCAGTTCTCCCAAAATGGATCATATTGCTCTAATGCGAGTACCAAATATCTAGTGAAAAAAACATTTAAAAAATGTGTGTACTCAATAGGCGGTGGTAGGAAAAGATACTCTGCTTTTATTTTAAAGATACTCTATTTTGTTGTTTCACAAACCACAAAAATACAAGACTAAGAATCTTTATAAAGTCATATATGAAACAATAGAATGGATTACTTGTTACTGGCCAGCAATTTTCCAAAATTCACAATTAACCTTTTAACATCCTGTATATTTTTTTAAAGATAACTCCCATTCAAATTATGTATACTATGAATCTTTTTAAAATATTATCAATAATTATATCACATGTTTCGAGTTTACCTTTAATTTGTTAATGATTGAAGAGTGCGTAGAGAAACTAGTATATGCCTTACTCTTTCTTTGTTCACTATATTAAAAATAAATATTTATTTTTAAAATTAAAATATAATTTATATTTTTATATCTATTTTATCCTTATTGTTAAGTGTAATTTCCAATTCATTTGTTAATATATAATAATTAGGAGTGATATAGTAAAATTATCATTTTATTCATTGTTTTTTTAAAATGTGTTAAGTCAAACATGAAGAAAAAACATGGACGTGGACAGTAATATAAATGACTTTGAAGTATTGTGAATGCCCAAAAATTTAGATGTCACTTTGTAGTATTTATTAGGTAAAACTCCAAAGTTTTCCTACTATTTAATTATATTAGTAACATTAAAATACAAGAAGTTTAGGTAAAACTCCACAGCCACCAATATACGATTTGACTAGAAAACAATAAGAAATTTACTAGTAGCATGAGCATTAATTCTACTTGTCACTTGGTTGAATGATTTTACCGCTTTAGAAGGTGATTTAGCTTTTTACAATTTCTTATAATCTACTTTTTACCTTTTCTCTTCTGTGTACATTTTTTATTTGACCCAGACCCAACTTAAGGATCAATCTTTTTAAATCTAAACGTGAAATAAGCATTAAAAACTTGATATAAAGTAATAATATATTTAAAAAAAGTTATGATATACATAGATTTCCCTTACTAATATAAGAATTTGATTAATTAATTTTGTAAATATATATTCTAAGATGCATTCAATGAAGAGGAAATGAGTATAAACATTTCCCAAAGATTGTTGAGGACTAATTTGCAAAAACATTCGATTTAACTTTTTATGGTATTGTGTTGTTGGTTGATGAGATAATATACGCTTTCTCAATTTTAATTTGCATTACATTATTTAATTCGACATGATATTTAAGAGATTTTTTTAATTTGAACATCTTGATCTTTAATTGCCTTTAATTATTCTTGTGGTGGTAATTATTTCATAAAGGATGAAAGAGAAAAATTTAAATTAAATTATCTCTAATTAATTACAAAAAAAGGTATTTTTTAAATAGCTAAAAAGAAGAATATGACATAATATATATATATATATATAATATATATATATATATATATATTGTTATGGTACTTATAGATATAATAAATCACCATGTCTGAAATTCATCATAGATATTTAGTATTTTACAATTTGTGATCGTTAAATTCCCATGAACTACACTCCCTCCGTCTCTTTATATATGTCATTCATTTTTATAAATAGCTGGACCACAATACTTGTCATTTTATAAAATTTATGCATAAATTACCATATTTTACCTATTATACCCTTGATAGAGTAGTTAATTAATCTTGAAAATGTATTCATCATTTATTATAAAGTTGACTTAAGAAAACATTAAATAAGGGTAGAAGGGTAAAATTACATTATTTTTTTAATGTAAGTGCAAAGAAAAAAGGTGACATATAAAAAGGGACGAAAAGTAATATTTTTATTATAATTAAGCGCATATTACAAGCGCTATTCCATTGAGGATTTTACACCAACCCATTTACACTAATTTGGGTCTACATAATTAATTTATGCCAAAATTGTTCTATGCATTTTGACTTCAAAAGTGACATATTTATTCAATGGCTCACCCACTACCTCCACTATAATTAATAAAATAAAAAATATGTGAACCTCACATTTTATACATGCCTATATATACTCCCTTAGTTTTTCCCATCAAGAAAACAAGTCACACAAAGAGCATTTCTTGTAAAATTGTGTGACAAGTTATATTATTTGTTAATATGGAGTTCCTGTATGTCTCTCTTGTTTGTGTATTTGTCTTTTTGGTTTCCCTCTTGCTCTTGTACAAGAACAAATCCGGAGAAGGACTTCCTCCGGGCAAAACAGGGTGGCCTGTATTTGGAGAGAGCCTCGAGTTTCTCTCCACTGGTTGGAAAGGCCACCCTGAAAAATTCATCTTTGATCGTGTGGCTAAGTACTCATCTAGTGTGTTCAAAACTCACCTTCTAGGTGAAGAAGCTGCGGTTTTTTGTGGTGCATCAGGCAACAAATTCTTGTTTTCCAACGAAAACAAGTTAGTACAAGCATGGTGGCCAAATTCAGTGAACAAAGTGTTTCCATCTTCAACACAAACATCTTCGAAAGAAGAAGCTATAAAAATGAGAAAAATGCTTCCTAATTTCTTCAAACCTGAAGCATTGCAACGTTACGTTGGGATTATGGACCACATAACCCAACGTCACTTTGCTTCCGGATGGGAAAATAAAGAACAAGTACTCGTTTTCCCATTAACAAAACGTTATACTTTTTGGTTAGCGTGTCGATTGTTTTTAAGCGTGGAGGATCCTAACCATGTCGCAAAATTTGCTGACCCTTTCGATGTTTTGGCTTCTGGATTGATTTCAATACCTATAGATTTGCCTGGAACACCATTCAATCGCGCAATTAAGGCTTCAAATTTTATTAGGAAAGAGTTAGTGAGGATTATAAAACAAAGGAAGATTGATTTAGGTGAGGGGAAAGCATCATCAACACAAGATATATTGTCACATATGTTGTTAACATGTGATGAAAATGGGAAATTTATGGGGGACTTAGATATTGCTGATAAAATATTAGGCTTGTTGATTGGTGGACATGATACTGCTAGTTCTGCTTGTGCTTTCATAGTTAAGTATCTTGCTGAGCTTCCACATATTTATCAACGAGTTTACACAGGTAATTAATTAATTATTAACTCAAATGACGTCATGCATCCCCCCTTCACATAAATAGGGTACTCTGAATGAAGGTGTTATTATTTATTTGTTTTTACAAATATTTGTTTTGTTATAGAGCAAATGGAGATAGCCAAATCAAAGGGTCCAGGGGAATTATTGAGATGGGAAGACATTCAAAAGATGAAATATTCATGGAATGTGGCATGTGAAGTTTTAAGACTTGCACCACCTCTCCAAGGTGCTTTTAGGGAAGCCCTTTCTGATTTCATCTTCAATGGTTTCTCTATTCCTAAAGGATGGAAGGTAAATATACATATATACATTGTTAGTGCATAAAACTTTCGAGTCTGATATATGTATAGTTTGATGATTAATAAAAATTTATATATGTAGATATATTGGAGTGCAAATTCTACACATAAGAGTGGAGAATTTTTTCCAGATCCAGAGAAATTTGACCCATCAAGATTTGAAGGAAGTGGACCAGCTCCATACACATTTGTACCTTTTGGTGGAGGACCAAGAATGTGTCCAGGAAAAGAATATGCTCGTTTAGAAATTCTTGTTTTCATGCACCATCTTGTTAAGAGGTTCAAGTTTGAAAAAATTATTCCAGATGAGAAAATCATAGTCAATCCAATGCCCATTCCGGCCAAGGGACTCCCCGTTCGACTCTACCCTCACCACCACAAGCCGTGATCCACCAAGACTGCATACAACAGACGCTTGTTATGGCAACAAATGTCAAACATTATCTTATTTCATCTTTCTTTCTCTTTTTTATTTGTTGCTCTCCATTTCAATTTATTTGGTTTTTTACTATTTTAGACGTGTGTTGATTAATAAATTTGTGTTCAATATTCTCCATGAGTTGCATAATAAGAAAATTATTTTCTACTTTTTATTTTTTGACTTAAAAGTCATTTAAGTTTGACTTTTTATTTTTCACTTAAAAATTACTTTTTAAGTCAATTCAAACGCTCTTCATCTTCTTCTTTTTAATAGGATTTAAGTTATATATAATAGTGTAAAAACAAATTGCACGCTATCACAAGTTACTTTTACCTATTAAAATTATAGTTATATACTACTACAATTTATAGATTATCAATTTTTTTACATTATCCATATATAAACTGTTGAGTTAATAATTAGCTAAAAGATCGACAATTGATTTTCTTTTTCATGTAGTGTGAAGAAATTGAAATCTTCCCTTCTGGCCATAATTATCACTTGTCTAACCTCATCTTGAATATATCAATAAGCCTTTGATCATTTGAATAACCATTCTAATCATCATATCATTATCAAAATCAAATTCAGAGACGTATTCAAGATTTTGAGATGATAGGTGCATTATTATGGAAATATGGATCTAATCGGTTTGATATTTAGGTTCTTATTATTAAAACAGTTGAAATTTTAAAATGATAGGTCCAAAATTGAAATGTTTAATTAAATAAAACACCAAAAGTGCTATCAATAACCACTTAAAGAGGTGTTACCCAATTTTAGAAAGAAAAATAAAACAAGATAGATATAAAATTCAACTTTCTAACCTCTCTGAGAGGTGCACCCTGTCACCGTCGCGTTATATGATACTTCAATTGTGGATTCACACATCTATATTTAACAAAACGTTTTAAAATATAACACAACTATATATGATTTTGAGAGGGCAGCATGGGTTCACGTGAACGCGGTGACCCTCCTGCATAGTGCATATGCCTCTGAACATCATGATTGAGGCACCATTTCAAATTAATTGTGAGAGCTTCAATCGTACTTGCATTGATTACGACAAAAACAACTTTTAGCGTCAATGAAAATTCACATTAACAAAAAATACTAATGTCTTTACCGACATTAATTAATTGTCTTTAGATTCAATATTGTTACATATTTTAGGGACATTTACCAAAAATATTAATTCCCTCTAAGAATACATATTTATCGATAATTAAACTATTATCGTTAAAAATGATTTTTATGTAACTACAACTATCAAAACAGGCAGAAAAAGTCGTGATCATATGGCCATGATGGTTTCTAAGGGTACCTCCTCTTGCAATGTCAGGTTACCTTTTCTCCAATCATCAACATTATGTTGTTAGAATTTGTCACTAATGATACAAAATCCTTTTCCCAGTGCAAAGACTACTGATACTTGAGACATCGGATATATGTAGGCAAGGTGAGGGGGGTTAAAAATGAAATTTTTTTTATCATGTGAGGCGGAGCTAAATGAATTAAATTTTTTTGTGAGTTAAGCCTAATCTGTCCTATCCTTGTTCCGCCCTACCCCATTTTCACCCCTAAATGTGGGCTATTGGGTCATGGCACATGTCAAAAACAAGTATATCTTTTCCACTAACAAATAAATATAAGAACATTACCTTTTTTAGATTTTATATGTAAAAATAAAAACTTCTTGTAAAAAGACATAATAAAATTAGAAAAAATAAATATTATAAATGAACTACGAAAATCAATTCTCATGTTCAAAACCGTGATCTCATTCAGAAGTTTTACCAAGTGAGACTCCAATAAACTTCTTACCTAGTGATGCTCTGCAATGATGCGTGGAGCGAGGTTTTTGTAATTTGATTTTTCACTTGGTGGCTGAAGCCCTCATTGAAGCCCAACTATGTAAAGTATCTTTCATGAGAATTCCTATTAAAAGGCCAAATCCATCGGTGGCCCCTAAAGTTGGCACCAAGTTTCACATAGATACCTTAACTGGACGATGTTCATTTTAGACACTTTAAGTAGGGTCATATTATGTCATTTTGACACTTTTTGCTGAGTTGTCATATTATGTGTGCTACACTTACTTTGAGCGCGTGAAAGACATATTTTTTTTATGATTTTTTAATTTTTTTTATTTCTTCGTCCTTCTCTCTCCTTCCCACACTTCCTCCACCATATACCACCACCTTGCCACCATTGTATATTCAACTTCTCCTCTCTTTGTCATTTCTTGACGTGAAAATTTAAATTAATAATATATATCAACAAAAATAATTTAACAAAGGACCAAAATATGTCTAGAGCATATATCTTCTTCATGATATCAAATTTCTCCACCTAATTTTTTTCATAGTTCCATTGTCAGAAAGTTCGCCGAATCCTTCAAATGTTCATTGGTCTATTTTCACCTCTCCCTATTTAAGTTTTTTTTTTCAGATTCAATTTTGAAATACTAATTTTCTACTTCTCAAAGCTTTTAACTTTTTCTATTTTGATGAACCCATTTCAAGTAAATTCATAAACAGGCCTGATTTTATCATGGATAATTTTTTTTGGGTACTTTGAAACTTTCAAAATGAGTATTCCAATGGTGAAAGTGATTGAAAAAAGAGAGAGGTTGAATTTGAAGGATTGAAGAGATAATAATAGTATGTTGGATTATGCGTATTTGCTTATGACACAAATTGATTATAATAGGTAGATTTGAAGAAAGAGGTGGTAGTAATGATAATCTTCAAATTTGAAGAAGAAGGCATCAAGGTAATAATGGTTAGAGGAGGAGGAGATGTGGAAATGGTGAAGGATGAAAATGGTGGAGGAGAAAAAGAAATGTGTTGTAGATTTTTTTTCCTTTTTCTTCTTTATTGAAAGGTAATTTTTAAAGTAATTAATTAATTAATTAAATAGTTTTAAAATAGGTTTTTATTCATAATATATCTTTTTAATAATTATTTTTTATATATATGTCACATGTAATTATTTAATTCTCTACTTTGACACGTCATCGGTGAGTGTAATACACACATCTTATATATTTGACTGGTTGTCAAAAAAGTGTCAATATGACACAACGGCCCCCTACTTAAGGTGTTTAAAATGAATAAGGGCTACTTGAGGTATCCAAGTGAAAATTGATGTCAACTTTAGGTGGCTATCGATGAATTAGGCCTATATATTCACATGATTTCGAGGAACAATCTTTCTCCTACATCATGTATACATCTAATTAATTAATTCAACTATTCACACAATAAAATAAAGGGAAATTTGTTCGGTATTTAATTAATTCATTGTTCCTTGATTATAAATAGTTAAAATATATGTTATAAACCAGGTTAAACTGTCAATAATTTTACCTAGCGTTTAACCATAAATTTTCAAATATTTTTGGCAAGTCATTTTTAGTGAAGTTTTATTATGTGTTTGGTCATAGATTTTGAGATAATTTTTTGACTTTTAATTTTTTAAACTTATACCCATAAGTTCTAGAAATTTTATTTAAAATATCTATAATTTTTATTATCATTTTATGTTCTGTGAAAGCCATGACAACGAACATAATTAACATATGTGAATTTTAAAAAAGACTAAGAAAACAAAATCAAAATAATATTGATTTGTATACGAAAAACTACTATACATTACTACTTGTAATTGGAAGTGACTTCAGAGAGCAAGCTCGGATAAAATTTGTATATGTATATAACGGTATAAATTTTGTACAACAAACTATGAATGAAATTTAGTACAAAACTATAAATGATGGGATGTTTTTATAATATATAAAAGTTTGGGGTAATTTTTAAATTTTTAAAAATTCTCAAATACTAGAATTTTGCTAAGTTCTAGTTTGTTTCTAGAACTTGAATACTTGAGATATTTGACAAATATATTTTTTAAGTAATGATAAATTATATGGCTAAACACTAATTCTCAAAAATATTTATAGGCAAACAGGCTTAAACGTTATTCATTCATGATCATGATGAGAGATTTTGAAGTCAAATGTTATGAATAAAGTTATCTTTAGTATGGTGCATTTATCCGAAAGTAGGACTTTAATTTTAATAGACTCATTTGTATGAGTCAAGTCCAAAGTGATTATTTATCACAAGGTGGAAAACCAACAAAAAGTAGTTAAAGTCTTCAAATTTAATCATTGAATTATACCAAGTCATTGGATAAGAGAGCATTATAGATAATGCAATCTTACAGTACTTAATGATAACAGCAAGGTTAAGGGAGATCACAAATAGAGAATTAAATATTAGAATGCGGAAGCACAAAGAAAAGAAACAAAAAAACTAAATAAAGATATGGGAAATTCGAAGGAAAGATCCGCGAATTTCCAAAGATTAGATGTTCTAAGGCCTTGAAAAGATCCAAGTAGCAACGTATAGATTTATGGAAGAAATCTAACGCCTTTACTTGAGAAAACGAATCAAAACGATAGATTCGGATCTTGACCGCTTTATGAGTAACTAAAGACAATAATTAGTATGTAGAAACTAATCACCTTCTAAAGAATACCAAAAAGAAACCAAAGATATCACAAGAAGAAGTTACTTTATACCTTAAACTATGAAACTAGTAAAGGTTTAAAGATAAATTCTCAAAGAACAAGTCACAAAGGTTCAAAGAACTCTCTCAAATATTATTAATATCAATCTAAATTTTCTTTAATGAATGAAAAGGACTCCTATATATAGGAGAAGGGAAAAACGTCCAAGAAGCCAAACCCTAAAAAAACAATTACAAGGAATCCTACTCTAGAAAGGAAATAAAGTAACCTAACTAGGAACAAATTTAGTACTTCTAGGAAAGCATTAAATGGTACTTAGGAGACCATAAATAGACTAAGGAAAATATTAATAACTTATATATAAATAAATAAATAAGGTAAATCCCAACTAGGAAAAGAATCTTGACAATCTTGGAAAGTTTGACTAGTCTTCTCTCAAAACTTGGGCAGAAAGCAACTCTTGTTGTGGCTGATTCTTGGACTCTTCTTGACCTTTTTTGCACGAAATTGGACCTTAAAATTCCTCATCTTGGGCTTGAATTTGGGCCACCAAATAATTGTAGCATTTGGACAATTCCTCTCCCTTGGGCTTGAGCTCTTCTTCCCCAATAAGAAACCTTTGGATCAGCGATTGAAGCCCATTGAGCTTATCATTGAACTCCTTGGTTTGAGATCTTGTTATGGGCCTCCTTGGAGTTTC